TTGGGTGTTCAGAAAATTTAACTACAACTTGGTCTTGTCTAATCGCCATATGATATATTTCACTTGACTAACACTAGAACTATACTAGAGGATTAGAGTGTAAAAATTGAATCAAAGAAATTAGAATGCAAGGAATAGGAAAGGATTTATAACACGATAACGAACAGGAACTTTTATTTTACAAAAATCATTCGAATCTCTAAAAAACGAGAATTATTCTAAAAAATTATAAATTGATAATTTTGATCAATTTGACTATTTTCACTCAACGACGGAGATTTCACTTCGTGGCTCATTTTAATGAAAACTTTCAAGATTCTATCGTTCTCTACCTTGATGATTAATTGCAAACTGAAATTCTGAATTCATTTCGATGATCACTCGACACAGTTTACCTGGCAAATTAATCGTTTCTAGAATGTTGAAGGTGTTTTTGATAATATGGAAGGACCTACGCGAGTGCTTGAAATTTCTTCATCTCCTAAACATATTTTCGAAAATAAGTCAAAAGATATGCCAAAAAGAAAAAAAATACGAACTAGACCATAACTTGCGCCAGCACTAATGTAATAACAGTTTTCAATCGTGAGTTGCCACTCGTATTTCAATCCATCAACCATGTTTCTTTCTCTCTAACCTTTTAGTACTTATCTACAGTTATTTTAGTCGAAAGACAGGAAAATTCCCTGCCGTGGATCGCACGAACTTGCTCAGTCTTTTATGGTTCGTCCACCATGAAAATAAATTCCCACTCTGCTCCATACAAATTACTTTCCCTGTTTTCCTTCAACTTTAGCAGCACTCTCAACCAGTTCAGTTTCGTGGCTAACTGGCGGCCCTTGCCCCCCACTTTTCTGCTCGCTAGCGCCCCTCCACTGCATCGATCTCTCCAATTGCGTGGGAGTGGGGCGAGGAAATATAGTGGAGGGGGTAGCGCTAGCGATCTGAAAAGTGGGGATAAGGGCAGTCAGTTAGCCACCTTTGCTTTACTCGAGCTGATCTTTTCCATCACATAGCACGTCGAACGAACGTTTAGTCGCTCGTGATAACAAAAAAATTAAATCCCGACTCAAAAACAGCCGCGTTCGAACTCGCGATGTCATCGCACTTTCTGCACCATCCGTTCGGTTAATTTCGTTCGTCGTCGCGTCGCCTCGCCTCGCCTCGCCTGGCGGAGGGAGAGATTTTCATGAAATTAACCAACTCGAAACAACGAGCCGCGTCCCTTAAAAGCGTTCGCGCCGATACACGCAACTGATCTCCGCAATAATGGATTTTAGATGGAAAAAGTTTGCGCGAACGAGCCGAGCTTTCAGAACCGGCGCGGGTTCAACGTCTGGCCGTGAGTTGATACCAGTAATGATAATGGACAGTTGACAGATCACGGGAACAGCGATTCTTCGTTCGGGGGAGCCGCGAGAGCGGGAAAAATAGAAAGTTCGCGAGAATTACGCGAGAATCGACTCTCGTCGCGCATCGGTATGATTTCTTTCTCGCCGATTCCGAACGCCAAAACGCGCTCAGACTTTCAAATCGTGCAAACCTGCTTCTGCTCCTATAAAATTCTCATTGTTTTCGAAGAAACTGAATCAAGTTTGAGTCAAGCGTTGTCGATACTGTTCGGACCTTTTAGCGTACTTACAAAAAAGTTTGAATTATTTCAACGCACAAACATGTGTATATATAATATTACATATTATTACACATACATATACACGTACATGTACATTTTGTATATTAAAATAATTAGATACATTAGTTAAGATACATATATTATATATCGAGCGTTATTCCTTTACGCGGAATCCAACAACGATAAATCGTGGGCAAGATAACAACAAAATTTAAACCCACGTGGTTTAAAATAAATGACTTATTAATATTTACGTAATCGAGGAAAATCGACTGAGTCCGAATGTGACGATGACAAAGAGATATTAAATTCTAAAAACCTGCACGCCATCACGACTCGTCCACAAAACCTATTCCGTCTTCATACGCACTTTGCACATTCGCACACACAAATCACACACGCTCGTATTTTACGTCTTAGACAAATTGCTCTTAGACTCATGCAAGAAGAAATTCCGAATAATGAGGCTTCCTCAGCCCACGAATATAACTCGGAGCCAAAGGAAGATGAAACCGTGACTGTTGAACCTCGATCGCTCGACAGGTAAGCGCGAGGCTGTTTCGAGGTATCGATTGGCGAACTCTTCTGTCTCCGGGTTCGCTGTCGACACCGGCAAGTGTGATAAAGTCAGCGCACCGTGCTGTGTGAGTGTGATAAATTAGTCGGACCTTCATAAACATTTCACAGCTGCTGCCGACACTCTGGGCCAATCCCCCAAACTCTACCGGTATCTCTTTGTCTTTCTCTCTCTCTCTCTCTCTCTCTCT